CCTTCAGAGTTTAAAAAAAATGAAAAGAGGATCTTTTTCAATGATCAAAAATAACGGACATAAATTTTAAGTATAAAGTGTCATTTTCCGGCATCTAGAATCCCCAATTTTTAATATTTTTTCTCACCTCAGCCTCAACCATGATGGAGCTCAGATGGATGTAGTAATTTTACTAGATTTTTTACATTAAAGTGCCATTTCTGGCATCTAAAATTCAATTGTTTCACCTCAGTTTCAACATGCTGGGCTGAGGTGGATGGTAGTTTTCATAAATTTTATCCAAGTGCCATTTTCTGGCATCTTTAAAGTCTCAAATCTGTCTCTTATACACATCTAGATGTGTATAAGAGACAGGTATAAAGCACCTACAGGAAAGTCTATGGTAAACTCTCCATATAGGTGGGCACATTGACAAGCATTGCCTCGGGTTGTATTATAATCAAGTTTTATACAACGGATGTTAGTGTTAAAATAATATAAAGTTATTGTATGTAGAATATCTATTAATAATAAAGTGTGTTATTTTGCAATTAATTAAGAAGTAATTAAAATAATGAAAGTCATAATATTTGTTGGTTAAATTTTTAATTTCAGTTGATTTATTTGCATATTCCACCAGACCAACTATCCTCATACCAGGCAGAGAAATGATGAATATTCATTGATTTCAGCTAGAACTGCAAAAACCAGCAAAACTGCAGAACTGACACCAAGTCAAGAACAACTTCTGAGAGGCATATATATCTTTCAGCGGGGCCAAGGGTGGTGGGTGGAGCGTAGGTTCCACGCGTGGCGATTGCCTATGATGGGCGATCGCATCCGCTTGGATAATCCCAACTGTCTTATTGCGCGAGATGCTGACGAAATTTTCGAAAAAAGTTTCGTTAAGATTTATTGGATTGTAGAGTATGTGGTGTTTGAAATACAGTACACTACAAATTGTAGTACAATTAAAATAGTGTTTCATTTTGTTTGATTTTAACTAAGTCCAGAATAGGACTGAACCATTTACATTTACACTAAAGTCCAGAATTGGACTCATCCATTTACATTTACACTAAAGTCCTGAATTTTAACTAAGTCCAGAATAGGACTGAATCATTTACATTTACACCAAAGTCCAGAATTTTAACCTTGTCCAGAATAGGACTCAACCATTTACATTTACACTAAAAGTCCAGAATAGGACTCAACCATTTACATTTACACAGAATTTGACCAATAATTTACACCAAGTCCAAGAAGTCCATAATTTCACACTAAGTTCAAGATAGGACAACTAATTTACACTATTCCAGAATTTCAACCAAATCCAGAATTGGACCAATAATTTACACTATGTCCAGAATAGGACCAACAATTTACACTATTTTAACTAAGTCCAAAATAGGACCAACAATTTACACCATTTACAATCTCGGTACAAAATTTTAACTAAGTCCAAAATAGGACCAATAATTTACACCAAGTCCAGAATAGGACCATCAATTTACTCATTCTCATTTCTGGTTTTATTAATCAACTCATTGTCCAGAATCCTCAGCATTTTAAGTACTGTAATTCCAGAATTGGGCCAGCATTTTAATCGGACTAACACTAAGTTACTTATTATATCACAAACCTGACTTCTTTTCATAACCACCAATTTTATGAATGTACAACAAATGTTTTTGCAGTGCACAGTAGATGTCCCATAATCCATCTGCTTCATTTCCATACATCACAGTTTGCAAAGCTTCAGGTAACAACAGCGTATGTAGCAGGAATCAAATAAATCAGTGTCTATTCCACACAATTCTATATCAAAATTTGACTTTCTATAGTTCACTTGCATTATCTCAAAATCTGACTTCGCTAAGCTTCAAGCACCATTCAGCTACTGTTGGTACTGAATACTAATTCAAACAAATCAGTCTTGATTTCCCACAATTCATTGCTCAACCTTGGTTTCCCACAGTTCATCTGCTTCATTTGTACTTCGCAAGCTTCCTAAACTAATCAGTCTGCCCATCATTCATCTGCTTTACGTTAACAAGCTCCTACTGAATTCTAGTCTTGATAGCCCACAATAAATCTGCTCAGCAAGTGTTTTCCTAGAAATTATAAAAAACAAAAACTATTAACTATGAAAGTACTGTAAAATTATAATTTAAACTAGTTAAAATAATTGTATATGTTTGTACCATCATTACAGTATTTGTAAATCACTGTTATCATATCCAATAGCGTAACGCTGGGGTCGAGGGCTCTGTGGCTTTCCTAGGATTGCCTGGTCGGCAATTCCATTTTGGGACTTTAGATTTTTATTTATTGAATCTGTCATTGTGTTCTAAATTTTTTTTAATGGCAGAATAAATAATCAGTGATGAATCCAGGAATTTGATATAGGTGGGCCCAGTGAAGAATTTTTACAGGCGAAGGGTCTCAGCCCCAACCATGGTGGGTAAGAAAATTTATGACTATAGCACCTAGATGACTGGAAATGGCACTCACAGATTTAAAATTTGAATATAATTTTATTTTTATCTCTATTTTTTAATTTTAACAAACTTAGGGGGCCCGGTTAGACCCTGTTTGATCCGTCACTAGATATAATATGGACTACAATCAATGTCAGACACACATTATACATTTTATCATTCAAGCTCTTTTGGGTGAGGAGTTCTAGATCAAGGACACTATTGATTGGGGGGGGGGGGTGCCCTGATCCGGGGGGGGGGGGTGCCCTGATCCGATTGAGGACGTAGTTTATATCATATGGAAGGCCATGTTCATTATTTTTTAAACTTGTACTATTTATTTACTTGTACTGTTTATTGTTTTTCTTTAGTTATTTCAGAGATTTGTATGATTAAAAATATATAGTCATATTAAGCAATTATAATGTATCAAAATGCATTGTGATACTGTTAATTATTAGCGAACGTATCAATTAGCTAATAAGTTTTGTAGAGACGGAAATGGCGTATCCTTATTCCAGCCTCGTGACGTCACTTCTCGAGGTAAACATCGACGGTGACAGCGGCTAAAAAGTGGTTATAAAACTTGCTTTCTTTTAGTTAAATCCCACTTTTTGTTTAACGCAACATCAAGATGTTCTTTCCATTATATAAAGGACCTACAGTTTGAATTTTATTTTATTTTTTATTTTATTTTATTTCAATTCCACACCAACAGCGAGTACGAACCTGCCACTTACAAAAGGATGGATATCAATTTCATTGCGGTAGTAGCTTATACCATGGTAAAGATGATTTTTGACCTGGACTACAAAGGTCGGGGGCCCTGTGGATTGCTACATGAGAGCGCATACAGTAGGTTTAACATATCCATACTTCACTGTAGTACAAGAATAAAAACAACAAAATTAATTTAATTGTAACAACTTATTTTATTCTTTTGAATTTGCTAGTCAAAGTTTATAATACTTTTTAAAGGTTTTTCAAAATTTTATATCAGGCATTTATATTAAAATAGTACCATCTTACTACAATTACATTATTACCACCCTCATTATGATAACCTTTATCTATCATTATTATAATAAAATGTAATTTAAATCTGAAGAAAATTTATAATTGACGATGAATATAGTAGATTTAACCCTTATTAAGGGGACAAATTTTTGGTCCTGAAGGTGTCCTCTTAATAGGAGTTCTACTGTACCAGCATGTTTAGGAGAATCCTCATTAGAACAATATTTTATTATTATGCCCACAATGAATATTCTGAAATTCATATGACTAGTATTATTTTTCTGTTGCCGTTTACTACAACATACAGTAATTGTGAAACCTTCAACGGTTTAAAAACAATTTATAGAAATAAACTTAAAACAGACAATTACTGTAAGATGACCTAAAAATAACATTATTCATATGAATATCAGTGGCATGTCCAGGGAATATCCGGGGTGCTTGAGTACCCCCCCTCCCACACCTTCAGAGTTTAAAAAAAATGAAAAGAGGATCTTTTTCAATGATCAAAAATAACGGACATAAATTTTAAGTATAAAGTGTCATTTTCCGGCATCTAGAATCCCCAATTTTTAATATTTTTTCTCACCTCAGCCTCAACCATGATGGAGCTCAGATGGATGTAGTAATTTTACTAGATTTTTTACATTAAAGTGCCATTTCTGGCATCTAAAATTCAATTGTTTCACCTCAGTTTCAACATGCTGGGCTGAGGTGGATGGTAGTTTTCATAAATTTTATCCAAGTGCCATTTTCTGGCATCTTTAAAGTCTCAAATTCTTGTGGGGTTGGGGGCTCAGGTGGATATGGTTGATTTTGGAATTATAAGTATTTAAGTGCCTTTTTCGGGCACCTGTTTAATTTTCGGTTTTTTTTTACTCATCTCGTCAAAAATAAAAAGAATTAAAATGTAATTTAAATTCCATTTCGGGCATCCACAGGCACAAACTACTGAAAATGTTCTCACGTCACTGCCAACCAAGGTGCCACTGACGTGGTTTGGACTCTTATTTTATCACACTCCCCTCCCCCTCCTTAAATCCTGGATAAGCCACTGATAACCACGGGGGTGAGGGGAATTTAGGTTTAAGTTCATCAAATATATAATTCAATGGTTTAAAATATTTTCTGCAAAAAAGTTGATTATATTTTCGTTTCAAAATATTTAAAGTAGTCTCATTTTCCAGTGGCGGGTTCAAGGCTCCCCCTTCCTCCCCCTACCCACCCTCCAATTTAAAAAAAAAGAAATTTTATTCAAATTCAATCCAAGAGTACCATTTCCCACCACCTATGGGTGCCTAATAATAAAATTTTTTACCTCAGCCCCAACCATAGTGGGACTGAGCTGGATGTACCCTCTATCTGAGACAATTCCTCTTTGGGCCCCTCCATTTCGAATTCTTGTATCCACCGCTGTTTTTTTCAAAAGGACGATCATTAGTAAACAAAAATTGCTGTAACACTAATGTCAAGTAGCCCTTTTTTAAAAATATAAAGCATCACATTTTTGGGATTTATAAAGGTCGATGTGCAATTTACTATGACATTTAATATTACATGGGTCGCGACTTGTCTGGGAAATCACAAATTGGGTCCCAGAAAAAAAAGTATGGGAAGCGGGGTTTCAAAATCATCAACATTGAGTAACATTTTGAGTTTATGAATTTGAAAATCATTTCTTTACCTGCAGCAATGTGGGTGGAGGTGTATTTATGGCTTGAAGATCACTCAACTTTTTCCATATTCTAAAATAAAGAACATAACAAATAATTGTATAAAAAAAACCTTTAAATATGCATACCAAATCGTAATAATTCAAGTAACGTAATGGATCCAGGAGATGGTGAATATACAATAGAACAAAGTATTGTAAACATGGTGGTAATTTTAAGTTAAATAATTATATAAATGTTATACCACAACAATGACGGAAGAAAAACACCATAATGGCAATACCGGAGGACGTGTTGTCACATGATCATTCAAATGTGACTGTATGCTTGAATGATTAAACATCAAGGTGTATCTGTGTAAATACACAAGTTTCCATGAAGACATGGGCATCGTGGTTGAAAGTGGGGGGGGGGAGACGAAATTAGCGGTGGCGCCAAGGCCCTTATTTGGGGCTGCTATCCACAACGAGAACAACAAAAATTGGACATGGTCTGGCGTCGCTAAAAATCGTTTGAAAGTGGTTCAATACCCCCTGAAAATATGACAATTCAGGGGTTTCAAGGGCTTATTTCATCAGTACTGGGGAAAGGGGAGCTGTCCAGGGGGAATGGCTCCGGAAGCTCTGGCGCCTGGAGCCTTTTATAAGTCATGTCTAATTGATTTTAATAAAGAATGCAATTAACATTTTTATTTCCACACTACATTTTTAAAATACAGTGGCAGATCCAAGAATTTGAAATGGGGGGGGGGCAGGGAGGGACTTTTACAGATGAAAACTGCAGACCACATCAGCCCCATGGTTGGGGCTGAGGTAAGAAAATTTATAATTATGGCACTGCTAGTTGGCCAAAAATGGCACTCTCAGGCTAAATTTGAATATAATTTCTTTCTTCTCCACTTTTGAAAAAAATTAGGGAAGCTGGGCTGGCTGGGCCCCTTGAATGAGAAATATGATGAGTATTTCACTGAAATACTCATCATAATAAATACTCATCATAAAAACTTTTTCAAATTATCCTGGTAATCATAATCATGCCTGCTTAAATATTTCTTGCAAGGGCGTCGATCCGTGGTTGAAAGTGGGGGGGACGAAATTAAAAATGAGCCTTGGGCCATAGGCACAAGCCTTGGTTTCAGACCAGGGGGCTTCGCCCCCGGAAGCGCTGGCGCATATAGCATTTTAATTGATTTTAAGCAATGCAATTAACATTTATTTCCATACGAAATTTTCAAAATATCCAGTGGCAGATCCAGTAATTTGAAATAGATCTGGGCCAAGAGAGGGACTTTTACAGATGAAGAGTGTAGACCATCTCAGCCCCACCATGGTTAGTGCTTAGTAAGAAAATTTATGATTATGGCACCTCTAGTTGGTCGGAAATGGTACCCTCAGACTGAATTTGAACATAATTTCAATTTTTTTTCCACTTTTAATTTCGAAAAAAAAATTAGGGATGGTGGACCGGCTGGGCCCCTTGAATCTGCCACTGAAATGCTCATCATAAAAAAGTTTTTAAAATTATCCTTTTAGTCATAATTATGCCCACTTTCGTGCAAACTAACCTTAAAATAATGATTTATTATCTACTGATTAGCTTGTAACGTATTCAAAATTCGAACCATGAAAACCAAATAAGATAAACTTAAAAGCAGTTATTGATTTAGTCTTTTTGCATGTACAGTACTTTTAAAATCAATCAAGAGGTTTTTGCTTTTCTCCTTTTTTTGAATTTCACTTTTGTGTATGTAAACTTGCGACTACACTACTGTGAGTGAAAATAATACCGTCTAATTTACGATCCAACAGGACTAGGGAGGGAGCACACAAAACATTAGTTAGCATTTTGATTTCACAAACATAAAGGTGGTTTACTGAATTTATCATTATCAGTGGCGGCTCCAGGAAAGCAAATTAGAGGGGGAACAGGGAGAGACTTGCACAATTTGGGAAAGTAGATGGTTGGGGCTGAGGAAAGAAAATTTATGATTATGACACCTTTAGATTGCCGGAAATGGCACTCTCAGACCTAAATTCTAATTATAATTTTCCTTTGTATTTTTCCAATTTTTAAAAAATAATTTTGAAAAATTAAGGGCGGCTCGGCCCCACTTGAATCTGTCACTGATTATGACGTCATTGCGAGATTTGTGTCAACGTAACACTGGAGTTTGTAAACTTTTGGTAGGCCTATCACTTAATCATATCCGTGTCAAAGGCTGTATAATTGTTTAATAATGGCTATATAAAATTCAATTGACTAACTATAATTTTTTTTGAAATTAGGAAAAACAGTAATCCTATGTATACAGATAATATTAAACACTAGCATAACATATAGGTACTAATAATATACAAAAGGAATAAATTGTTTATAGTAGAAATTGTGCACTTTTGAGTTGGTAAAAATATTGGGCTAATAAGTATACACGCTTTCAATTTTAACAACGTTCAGTACATTGTTTTCACAATAAATTTAGCCTCTGATAACCGTTGCACCCATAAAATCGATCTAGTGGTTTCTGAGATGGTTACGAAATGTATAAACAATTGCGTTTTTACTCGGTTTTGGTCTGGAAAATACGTACCGCACTTAGAAAATTGAACAGACAAAATTCATGAGTCATACGTAAGTGTTATTCTTTCCATTCGCTTTTAAAAGTGGGGATTTAATTGTAGAAGATTGGTGAAAAGTGGGGGGAACAATCAATATGATGTTCCCCTACTTTGAAATGTGGGGGGATGCATCCCCCTGTCCCCACCGATCGACACCCATGATTTCTTGCAAACTAACATTCATTAAAAAAATGTGACAATTCCTCCTTGGGCTCTTCCATTACGAATTCTTGTATCCACCGCTGTTTTTTCAAAAGGACGATCATTAGTAAACAAAAATTGCTGTAACACTAATGTCAAGTAGCCCTTTTTTTAACTGGTACTGGTACGGGCATTTATAATGTGCTACTTCCTTGCGGTTATAAAACACAGTTCATTTCCCTGGTCATTGGGTCCATATGTTAAGTGTTGCTGCTGGAAATCAGCGCAGGAGCAGACAACCCCACCAGGTATCCATTTATACTCCTGGGTGGAGAGAAGCAATGCAGATAAAGTGTCTTGCTCAAGGACACAAGCGAATTGCACAGCCAGAATTTGAAAATCATTTCCTTACCTGCAGCAATGTGGGTGGTGCCGTATTCATGGCTTGAAGATCACTCAACTTTTTTCATATTCTGAAATAAAGAACATAAAAAACAAATAATTGTACAAAAAAAACTTTAACTATTTATACAAAATCGTAATTATTCAAGTAACTAAATGGATTAATGAGTAAAGGATCCAGGAGACAGTGAATATACAACAGAAAAAGTTTCCATGAAGACATGGGCATCGTGGTTGAAAGTGGGGGGGGGGAGACGAAATTAGCGGTGGCGCCAAGGCCCTTATTTGGGGCTGCTATCCACAACGAGAACAACAAAAATTGGACATGGTCTGGCGTCGCTAAAAATCGTTTGAAAGTGGTTCAATACCCCCTGAAAATATGACAATTGTAGGCACATTAAAAGATTTTTCTAATGAGGATTCACCTAATCATGCTTTTTATAAGTCGTCAGACCTGTTTAACTGTCTGAAAATAAGCACATAGATTGAATTTTTTTTTTTGCAAACCTGCTCGCAACCCAACGCAAACGTTTGGTGACTGATTTTTTGGGTCGCAACCCATAGTTTGGGAAGCATGGATCTAAACTCTAGTGTGGATTACTCACATCAATGTGTTCTTTAATTTGAATTAATGTGAAACTATATTTGAAGTCAATTGAAGGATATAACTTTTTGTGTGCTCCTAGCCCCGCCCCCTCATAATTTTGGCACTATTATGGTTTCGCATTTAGTCCTAAAATCATTTACTAAATTATTTTACACTTATTCAATACCAATACATTCCTTGATGATTTTACTTTCCTATAATCCACTTATTATAACAATTATGGTTTATAATTAAGTTAACCATTAATTAGGACGGCTAACGTAGTACATGTCAACGGCTTTGCGGTATTGCCAGAATCAGGGCAAAATTATACCATATTAGATGTGCAATGGGCTTAAGCGCATCTAGGCCTAAGTAGAAAGAGTATGAATGTAACTCAAAATGTTAATATCTACTTTTCGCTTTTATTTCATCTTCATCAAGAAAAATACATAATACAAAAAGACAACGCCGTGGCTAGAGATACAGTACGGTACCGTATCTCTACTTCATTTTGCTAAAGGTACGGTAAATGGCATTATGTCACCATCACCTAATGAAGAGCCAGAATATGTGTGACGTCATCTTTCAAGACTGACATTGCAGATCACCTACGATGAGCGGAAAAATGTGAATGATGCACTGGGTAAATTAGAACATTGAAAAGTACAATACTGTACTTACTACTGTCGTCGATAAATAGGCGTATAGTTCCACTCAGTAAGAGTCATGTCATTTATCTATCTATAGCCATTATCAAACAAGGACTGAATCCTGTACCAAACTCTTGGCATATGTCACTAGGCTTTGCTTAAATTCTTCGCTTGGCGAGGAAACTAAGCAAAGCCTAGGCCTTTGCTTGGATTCTCCGTTTGGCAACGGCCCTGCTTTAGCGACAAACCTAGGCCTTTGCTTGGATTCTCCGTTTGGCAGCGGCCCTGCTTTAGCAACAGATCGATCTGGGTGGCATATATCAGTCATAAACTAACTCCTGCATTGTCAAGTTCTCAACTTCCAAAATCTCATCCCAAGTTTTAGTCCAAGAAGCCTAGATTATAATATATTCAAAATTACCACGCTTTACAATCTGAACAACATATTCATACACTTTGAATGCACATGTATAATCGATACATCCTTGATTTACCTAACTTTACGTAGACTTCGTCCTGTTACTTCCACCAATCGTAAACATCATTCGTTCAGCCAGAATTCAGATCGAGAGAATGAGTTTCCACAATCATGATTATTAGTGTCAAATTTGTCGAATATATTTTGATGCAGGCCCATTTAAACAGAAAAGTTCTAGTAATCCTATAAGAATCCTCTTATTTACAGTTTACAGTATATTCAGTTTTTATTGCATGTGTTGTCATGTAAATGGATTAGACCAAAGACTGAGTGGTATGTAAACCCTCTTTGCGAAGGCATAAGCAAGGTGGCCTGGGCCTACGTAATGGGGATTCATGCCTTCCTTGATATGGCTATATAGATAAATGACATGACTGTTATTACTAAGTGGAACCCTTATACTGCGCCTATTATCGATGACAGTATTATAAGAAAATACTATACTCTTGCCTAGGTAATCATGTGCTAAACCAAGTACTTATTCGCAAGTCACACCGCTCACCTCCTACCATATTACACTGTGGGTGATCTACAATGCCGGTCTTGAAAAATGACGTCACACACATACTGGCTCTTCATTGGGTGATGGTGATGTAATGACATTTGCTGTACCTTTAGCAAATTGAAGTAGAAATATGGTACCTATCTCTAGGAATGGTGAAAAGACAAACTACAAAACAATACAAGTTTTCCAGAAATCCTAATGCAGCGAAATAATTGGTCACAAAAATTACAATTGGGCACAAATTATATGACAGACCCTGGAAACCTTCAGTCGTCAACTGTACTGTGTGTGTCGTAGGGCGGAGTTGATTGTGTTGAGCGATCGGGTGTTTACTATCGATATATAGCGTCCTAATTATTGGTTAATTAACTCCATAAGAAACTGTAATTATCATGGCTTAATATGAAAGTCAAATCATCAAAGAACATGTTGGTTTTGAATAATTGTAAGTTTTAAATAATTTTGTAACCGTTTTTTTAGGGCCAGATGCGTATTGGCATTGCCGTTGAGGACATTGAGACCTCGTCGGTCATATTCTGCTTTTTCTGGCCTGTTAGTAGGTAGCCTAGGTTTAAAATTGTAAGTTTTAAATAATTTGGTAACCGTTTTTTTTTTAGGGCCAGATGCGTACATAGCACCTGATTTTACCGTCACAGAATCCGCATTGCCGTCGAGGACATCGAGACAACGTCGGTCATATTCTGCTACCACCACCGACTCGGAGCCACCTTTAATCATTCCGAGATGACAGGAGTGGACTAGGCCTATAAATTTAGAGTATCATGTAGGCCCCTATGTGGTGGTGGCGGCACTGGTCTGGCCTGTTAGTAGGTAGCTAGGCCTAGGAATTTCCTCCAGGCCTAGCTAGTTAGTAGTCCATGGTATAACTAATAATAAGCTCCTACCTCCACCAAATTCAAACTGTAGCTCCTTTAAATGTTGGATATATTATATCTCGATGTTGTGCCGTACAAAAAGAGGAATTTTACGATAAATCCAACTTCCAGGCCCCATCCATAACACACCACGTTTTTACCCACATGCGACCTTGTTTGTTTACAACCTCTCAACGTGACGTCAAGGGACTTGATGTACGATGCGCCATTGGCGTCTCTACAAAAATTATTACTGTAATACTCTGGCTTTTGATACATTACAACTATAATACTACTATATATTTTAATAATAATAATAATAATTCTTTATTTTTGCTCATAATTAACAAATTTAAATGAAATGAAATCCATAAAAATGTATAAGCTTAAAACCTACTAAAACCTAATTAATGTGGCCTTCCATATAATGTAAATTACGCCCCCAATCGGTGCAATATTAAACGAGACGATAGTTGCTGCTACCCTCCCTTCCACACCAATGGGACCACTGCATGGATTCCAAGATCTTACGATTTTTAATGACATCTTGGGATTTTTTGTTAACTTTTCGTTAAATCTTGGTATTTTCGGAATGATATATGAATTGTTTATTTTTTTTTCTATCTAGAAGTGAAAAGATAGACTGCTAGTGGCCATATAAAGTTAATTAACACCATAGTTGACAGTTGTGATTGAGTGTTGTTTATTTTGTTCAAAATAAAACCCATAAAAAAAATAATGTATAAAAATCACGCCTTTTTTTTCTATTAAATTATGAGTTACGCTACTGGAATATTCTTTCATTCTTATTTACCTTTGTTTTCATTTCTAAAAATGGGCGCAAAAACGTGTACGACACAAAAAAAAACATGGTAGGCCTAAGTCTCTAATTTACAGGACTAGTCTAGTGTCTTGACGAGATGGGCAACGAAATGATTTCACGCAAGCAGAGTCAGTGCAAAACAGGCGTCATCAAAAGACTACAGTACGAGAGTTATTCCGATCCGCTAGGACCGTGTTGTTACGTGTTACGTTAGATAAATATCATCATTGGCAGCAGATAATTTCATCTCAATCAAGACCTGTATAAATCATCATTAATAAGCTTACAGTAGTAGATTAACAGTAGTGCAGGCTGATAAATTCCACAATGACTCTCACTAAAATTTCTTAATTTGAATGATCGCCACCAGGGGCTTTCATTTCATTTCCGACCTCCACCCCTCCAACCCATTATATGATTAAAAATAATTTATATTGCCACCAAAAAAGAAAAAAACAAAACAAAAATATTGAAAATGGGCAGGGCGAGACACCTGTCCAATTACCTTATGGGCAGTCCAAAATAATTTTTTAAAATGTCATAATAATTTAATAACAATAACAATAGAGCGCTAGCTAACTGTGCATAACTTAATTCTCTGAAAAAAGATGGCGCTTCAGTTGTTTTTGAAGGCAGACCAGGTACAAAACTATTTTTAATAAATACACATACAATTTGAGTTTCAATGTAGGGCCTACATTATGTTTAATTTGAGCACCCGAACTATGTACACAAACACTTCATTACTTAAACAAACAAAAAATGAATAGGCATACTGATTAATGTTTAGTAGCGCGTCAGTGAATTAAGTATTTACGTAAACACTGTCTAATGACTCAAGTTTAAACTGCATGACCATTTTTATATTTTTAATAAAACTAATTTCTTCTAATTTTAAATAGATTTTCCCCTGAATTTGTGACAATTCGTTATCACGCACAGACCTGTGCTAAATGAGTGACAAATTTATACACGCATGTGTTTCTGCAAAATTCGTGTTTCATACAAAATCACTTTGAAATACGGGACCGTCCCGCACGATGCGAGACGGTTGGTAACTATGTTCACATTACACACTTGCTTTCACCGTAATTTGAATGTTATCAGACAGGTGCACAACCAACCAGGTATAAGGAAGATTGCGCTAAGGACATGTAGTACCCTACTAGGCTAAACGTACAAATTATAAGTTCAGCCACTGGGCAGTGGTGTAACGCCTATGCGCTCTCATGCAGCGGTTCGCAGGGCCTCCGAATTCTAGGGGCCCCAAAGGGGCCCTACTCACTATAGGTTCCTCAATCTAGCACCCTGACCAAAAAGGACTTTGTTGATAAATAACACCATAATGTGTCTCTGAAATCGAGGGCATATCATATTATAACGATTAAAGAGAGGGGCCTCCTCTCGGCCAGGGATCCCACCAAATTTGTCCAAAAAAAACAAAAAACAAAAAAACAATAATAATAAAATAAAAATGGAGATAAAAGGAAAATTATATACACAATTTTAAATCTGAATGAATTTCCGGCCATGTAGACGTGCCATAATAATACGTTTTCTTTTCTCAACCCCACAAGGGCAACAGCATAATGTGTGTCTGAAATCGACTGTAGGACATATATTATATCCAGTGGAGGAATAAAGAGTGAGGGGGTGGGGCGTATTACCCTGTAATTCACATTTTTTTCGTTAGCAACAACTTGGCAACGACATGCATTTATACGCTTCCAGCTGAGCAGTTGTGCAATAAAACGTTTGATTTTAACCCATTAAATATCTTTATAATGAACAATGTTCCCCTGATTAGATTTTTTCGGGCTTTTGGTATGCTATTATTTGTATATTTCAGGAACGGATTCCGTAAAATATTTATGTCAAAATTACTTCTGTGTTCACTATAATTTTGTCTAAAGATTGACTGGTTCGACTATAAAGCTAAGTCAGCGTAAAACTGAAAAATACTCAGACTTTGGATTCATTTTTCGAATAGTTAACCCTCGTTAACCCTAAAATGACTTAGTTTATTATAATCCTTAATCA